ACAACAACAACAACAACAACAGCATTAAAGGGAGGACTACCAACAACAACAACAACAACCACTCAATTACTACCAACAACAACAACCCAACTACACCCCAAACTACTACCAACAACAACCATATCAACAACCACTGAACTACAACAACCCACCACTCCAATACCAACATCAACAACCCTACCTGCCTCATCCACCACCACCACCACCACCACAGCAACAACAACAGCCGATCATCTACAACTCATCCCCACTCAGACCACACCACCACCACCACATCAAACCATCAGCCTATAACAGCCCACAGACAACCCCATTCGGATCACCCAAACCACACCACCACCACCACCACTGGAAGAACAACCGCCATCACATCCGATCACCAGCCTCACCACGACACCCTCCACCACTCTTCTCCCCAAGGAGCCCATACTCATCCACCTCATCACCATCCACACAGGGACCCCAATCACCATCCAGCCTACCACCCATCATCAGCCACCAACAACAACAACATCAACAACCACTCCTAAGAGGCTCACTCGCTCAGGCTAAACTCAGAGGACATCCCATCCCAACCAACTCATTCAAACCAGAACACATCCCATTCGCCACCCTCTCACTCCAACATACCCCACCTCATCATCAACAACACCATCACCATCACCATCACAACAAAACCGCACTACCCAAACCCCCCATCCACTCACAACATGCTCTCTGGGTCGGAAATATCCCAAACGATGCCTCACACGAAGAACTCTGGAAGTTCTTCTCCGCCCAACCCATAACCACCCCCACCTTCAAACAACAACAACAACAACTCGCTGGTGGTGCTGGGGTCGAAAGCATCCATCTGATCGCAAGGAGTAACTGTGCCTTCGTCAACTACCTCTCTCACCCCCATCTCAACCAAGCCATCTCTCTCTGCAATGGAAAACCACTCAGACCATTAGATCCCTACTGCAAGCCACTGCTCTGTCGGATTCGGAAACCAGAGGATAACATCAAGAGCGGCGTCGGCGCACAGAGGATCGGCGGACTCCATCGCTCCTGGGTCAAACGCTCCGCCGATCACCCACCCTCCTCTCATCACAATCAATTCAACAAACATCGCCATACCCTCCCTCCCTCTTCAACAACCACCCAGAATACAAAAAATCTGCATAACAATAACAACAACAGGGAAAACATCCATCATCAACAACAACAACATAGTAACAGCTTGAACGAACCTTCGACCACTAACCTTCGCACCTCTTCCACTCTCACCGCTGCTTCTAATCAGAGTCAATCGACTACCTCATCCTTCTTAGCTAGTCACTTTCCACGCCGATACTTTATCCTAAAAGTAAGCCGTATACAGTCTACCTACCCTCCAGATATATATAATACTGACCTCGTTCTGTCGATCAGGCATATACGGATGAAGATCTAAGGATTTCAGTTGACCGCTCCATCTGGGTCTCACAAGCGCATAACGAGCCGATCCTAGACCAAGCCTATCGGACCAGCGGGGAGGGAGTCTTCCTGATCTTCAGTGCGAACCAGAGTGGCTCGTTCTTTGGATATGCCCGGATGGCCGGGCCGATTGCCGGTGTCCGTGGGCGTCGACAATCCTTACCGCCAGCGAGTCCGCCGACGGAGGCGTCGATCAAAGCTGCCGCCGGCCGGACCCGGAGCGCTTCGATCGGCACCCCCGACCGCGCCCTCGAGGGCCTCTTCGTCGATCTTCCCCCCAGCGCCTCCCCTCGCGCCCTCTCGCCCGTCCTGCCCGAACTCCCGCTCCGTTGGCCCGGCTCGCCCGTCCGGCGCTCCCTGCCCATCCTCGGACCGCCTCGGACTCCTCAATCGGTCCTTCAACCTTCTTCAACCATCAGTAATACTACCACTCCAACACTCACCAAGGATCCTCATTCAACAAACACTACCCTCCCCTTTACTTCCCCGCTTCTTTCTCATGATCATCATCAGCTCATTCCTGATGCTCATCCTGCTCAGATCCTCGTCCAGGATCGTAATCAGCAGTCCACCCATGATCACCATGATAATGGTGATGGGGAGGATGACGACGAGGATGATGAGGATAAACTCATGTCGGGGAAACCGTTCAAGGTCGAATGGATTCGAGTGCAAAAATTAAGCTTTTATCGGACCAAGAATCTCCGAAACCCGTTCAAGTTTCGTCCCTCGTTCCTATTCCTCCTCTTCCTCACCCTCTATCAAAAAATTAGATCAGGAACTGATGTTTTATTTTGTTTTTGGTTGGTTGGGTATAGTGGGAATAGGGAGGTTAAGGTGTCCCGAGATGGGACCGAAGTCGAGCCGTCTATCGGCGCGGCTATTGTCGCTGAGATCGAGAACGAGTTCAATCGTCATCACCATCATCACCATCACCAGATCCACCAGGTTCAACAAGACCAACAGATCCATCACCAACAAGACCAACATCATCACACCCAACCTTCTTCTTCTTCTTCTGGGCTGTCTGCTCTTCAAGATCAACATTTCCAGGCTTGAACCTCGTCATCCATTGGTTCTTCCTGTTTTTTTGAAACGCGGGTCGGATGAGCGAGCCGGGAGGGGGCGGAGGGGTCTTGTTTTCGATGTGGATCGGCGACATCGAGCCGGTCTTTCTCTCGTTCTTACCGCCCAGATGGCGCGGATTCTCTTGCGCACTGCAGAGTGCGTCACTGAGGATCAGGAAAGTCGAGGCTGCGGTCTCGCCTGCTTCTTCTCCCCTCCTCCTCCCCCGTTTTGCTTCCTCTTCTTTTATTTATTCATGTTCATGTTCATGTTCATTATGATGAGTTATTACATAAGATTGATTATGGGGTATTTATTGGCGCTTCTCATTTCATTCTTCTTGTGCTTGTTGACAAGAACCAGATCAGATCAGATTTTTTCTTTTCTTTTTCCTTTTCTTTTCTTTTCTTACTATATGGTTTTATGATTATGATTATGAACTTGTTCTTGTTCTTGTTGTCTTTGTTGTTGTTGATGATGATGATTTTTTTTTTGGAGGGGAATGAATGTGTCGTACGATCACGTGATCATAATGTCGAGCCGGTTCCTTTTTCTGGAATCCGGGGTGGTCCTTGACTTCGTCTTGGATGGCGCATCTTAATGAGTCTTGACTCGATCGTGCCGGACGTTGGGATCATGTAGCTTGAGTTTCAATATGATTCAATTCAATCTGACCATCATCTACATGTTTCAGACCATCTAAGTAACCAATTTATGAATCAATTAGAAGGAGGAATTTATTCTAATTTTATAGCTTTGTTATGGTCATAAGAAAAAAAGAATTGAATCTGAATAAAATAAAGAAATGGAGGACTTCCTGCCACTGGGGGAAATTCAACAGTCCTGAAACAGTAACATGGCAACTGATAAAATCATGAACAGAGAATGAAATGTTTGTTGAGAATTTTTTGGCAAGAAAAATGATTTCTTGTTGGAACAGCTCAGAGGGGCACAAAAAGAAGGAGAGAACCAATGATGTTTTACTTAAAGGAGACTAGGTGTCAAGTAGTTTACATACAAGAGGTTCAACATGTGGGTGAGAAGAAAATGAATGTTGAAATGAATAACAATTTAACACATGCGTGAAAAGATGACAGGAGCAAATAATCATTGATAAAGACTAGACCCAGGTTTGAAGACCACAGGGATTACAGCACTAGACAATGAGAAAAGGTGCCACTCAGACACTTACAAGACACGGTAAAATTAGTAATTTTTCATCTAAATATCATTAAATCAGAAAGGTGTGATAGATGGATTTTTTAGGGATGAGAAGAAAGAGACAAAATCCCAACAGCAACACAAATTTCAAATCAAGACAGTTCTCACCATGATGACCAATGTATGTATGTGCAGTCACCTACCAGAAGTTTATAGCTAGTTTGTTTGAATTACACAACCCTGACCCACCAACTAGGGAAATCATGAGACTTGAGCAAGTGGTATAAAAGAGGGTTCAAAAAATAATTCTGAAGATGAAAACATGAAAAAACTGATTTTTGAAATATGCAACAAAATATTAATAATGATTGCCCTTTTTTGAGCGCTTGAATAAAAAGACATGGTTTTCCACGTTTAGACAAGGTTCATGCTGTGCGCAGCGCGCGCAGCAAAAACCATGTCTAACCCCTGATCACAATTAAGTGCATCTGGACTGACTACATGGGTAATTATAAGTGATACTGGGGACCAATCTAGGCCAATATAGTGATCAAAAAATTACATCCCCTTGACAATCACTGAGTCAATGTGAATGTCTCATGAAGAAAAAGACTCAAATGTCATGAGAAGCACTTACAGATTTTCCCTTCAACTGATGCTGCTTGGCCAGCTCCTCCAATCTGACCATGTTTAAATCTTATTGAGTCCATTACCCCACATCAATGTTAATGGAAAGACTAAAAGATTGTATTTCATTAATACCAGTTTAAAGAAATACATAAAAAGAAAAGAAATGAAATGAGAAATATAATCACCTAAAAGCAGTAGATGACTAATGAAAGGAACAACAAAAGATGATAACGCTGATAACAATAGAATAAAACGGTCTAACAGAAAGAAAACAGGTTAATTATAAGAACATTAGCCGAGAGGGATTTTGATGAAGACCTACGATGAACTAGATGTTCTTTAGTGGAATGTGGTCGGCGAGTTGTCGAATGGAAGGGAAGACGAGTCGTTTATAAAGAAGGAGTTCAATGATATAATAATCAAAGAGTTAAAGAGATAATCGAATCGAGAGAAGTTAGGTGTGATAGAGTATGAATCTCGATGAAGTGAGAAGATGGTTTTTGGTGATGAGGATAAGAGAGTTCTGTTGAGTAAAAAGGAGAGCTCGATTGAGAAGGATGAGAGATAGAAGAGTGATCCTTGCAAGATCAATCGTTACCAGAAGAAGGGGTCGATTGATAAGGAAAAATGAGAAGGACCATGCGAGGAGATGAGTCAGGAGAGAAACTGAGAAGGTTCGAGCTCAATGATGTCATCGATACGCTATGAAGTTTTTAAGAGAAGGTCCAAGTGAGATGATGTCATCGAGAATGCTTGAAGGTCCAAGTGGACTGATGTCATTGGGAATGCTTGATCGAGAAGATTTCGATATTGAGGGAACAACCAGGGTTAAGGACAGGAGAAGGGGCTTATACATCAACAATCAACACACCTTGTTGTGGCACCTTCTCTGTTGCCTGTACACCACCAGAGCACTTTAAGCTCCTCCGGGTTAGCAACCCGTCGTCAGATATATGACCGCGGGATTGTGTGGAACCGTAGGTTGACCCACAGTTGGGTTGACCACCCCGTCTGACCGCCGCAGGTAACATCGTCGGTATGACACCACGGCCAGCCCAACGGAGATTCTGCCGGCGGAGATGACCCAACAGTCAGTCTGCCAGTATTCATGCAGTTGGGGTTGACCCAGCGGTCAGACTGCTGTAGACCATGCAGGCGAGGCTGACCGGACAGTCATACCGACTGAACACCCTCAGTCAATACTGAACCGACAGTCGGGCCGCTACCATTGATGCCAGCGGGGTTGACACGACTGGCATCCCGATGCGAGGGTTCCTCCACCCAGTCTTTGACAGTCAGCCAACCATCAGTCAACCAAGGCCCAACTGCTCAAGAGCTGACAGGAGGGCTGCACAACCGGGGCACCTGCAGCGCCAGTCAGCCGCCAGAGACCTGATTTGACGGCACTGGCAGACGAACCTGACAGCTGTCTAGCTGAGGCCATCATTTTCCTTCAGGATCTGATTGGTCAGGATGACCGGTGTGCAACCAACATACCGACATCAAAGCTGCAATTTGCAAGTTAATTCCCAACTCAATCAGAGTTCACCTTTTCAGGCAAAAGCTCGAGAAAAGTTGGGCTTGAAAAAAAAAATGAAAATCAAAATGACTTGGAGAAAAAAAAAACACCAAAAAGCGGTGGCGGGGTATTATAACTTGAATATCACAAACTTCAATCAATCTGATCAGTCCGAGTGGTGAGAAGAGCCGCTGGTTGTGCCCGAGAGCGGCAGTGGTCCCCAGTTCGAGTCTTCTGAGAAGCCATTATTTTTGATGGGAGTCCAGTCCGGACTCCATTTTTTTTTGCCTGAGCTAAAATCTCACAGCACATGTCAACCTTAGTGCAGCTACATAATCTGCATGGAAGGGTCATGATGACAGCCCTGCAGGCGGCGTGACCGCAACGGGAGGTCGGGGCGCCCGCAGGACCGTGAATCCATAATCTCAGGGTGTCTCAGACCCCTGAGACACTTGCCAATATGCAGGCGGGTTGACCGATGTCGACGCACTGCCCGCCCGGCAGACATGGGTTGGACCCCGCCTCCCTGGCCGCAAAGCTGCCTAACTGACGTCGGCAGACAGGAAGGTTTGGCCGGGTCGGGGGAGGTCGGTTTGCCCGTCAGAACCCTTGATGGTTTGGCATTGAGGTGCTCTGGTGGTGTACCACATTGTCCCCACACCAGCCATCCCCTCCCACATTGATATATTTACCCTGGATAGAATTATACCCTACTGCAATAATTATATTATCCCCTTCCACCCCCAAACATCCTTTCCCCAGTACCAATGAGCAACACAAGTGCTGTGTTCTTTCTTTCCCCTCTTGAGTCCTCCTCCAACTATTTCAGATGCTTTATCTCACTTTGCTCAATATTTTGACCTGCTCTCCCCTGTGTTACATAAACTTTGCAAAATTGGACTCATGATTTGACAATTGAATTATCAAAAAACTGTGACCATGTCACTATGGTCAGAGATTCAAATTCTCAAGGATCTGTCTAGGTATATATCCTGTCTTGGACTTACAAATAAGCTTACATATTATGTGGTTGAATATATTGTTGAGAAAAACTTCCTTAATTCCTGACTAGGTTTCAAATTATCCAAGGTGTTGGCACATTCCCACTCTGAATCAGGTTTACCTACTCCAAGTCAACAGGATTGAAGTGCTATGGAAGTGCTTTCAAAGAGATTTGGGAAGTAGACTAGGTATTCACTGCTTCAAGCAGTGAATACCCAATGAAGTCCCAAAGTAAACTTTGTGTTGGGCTTCAGCTCATCCATTTCTTCTGCATGATAAACTGCATCAATCATTATAGCCTTTTGCTCTAACAGATTGTTTGATTCAAGTGATACTAGATTTCCTGATTTCCACTTGTTTTGCTTTTTTCACTGATGCACAATTTGCCCTTCTCTCATCTTCAGAAGGGACCTTCCTCTCTGCCACTTGAACATTTTGTGTTATTTGTGATCATGAAGGGAGTCTCCAAAGGGAAGAACATGAGGTTAGATTGCAATTTTTCCTTTTTGTGGAACTGGATCCCATTTTCGGTGGGATATGCCCATTACATTTCCTCACATTCAGCACGAAAAACTCAGTTTGGAAATTCCAAAGAGGAGGAAGTGATTCATGATCTGATCCCTCCGACCCAAACCACTCAGCCATTGACCAAGGGCCACCGGCACTGGTGATGTATCTACTCTGCTCAGCAAGTCTGTTGCACCCTGAAGAAATTATGACCGAAGACGCGGAGAATTTTTGAGAGAAAAATTTTGGGGGCAACAAAAATGAATTTTGTTGGACTGACTCAAGGGTCGGGAAAAGAATGAGAGAGCCAATGTGTTTTTTACTTAGAGGAGACTACACGTTAAATAGTCTACATACAAGTGGTCAAACATGTGGTTGAGAAAAATGAATATCAAAATGAATAAAACAGATAAACATATGCTTGAAAAGATGTCTGGAATAAGTGTAAGTTGATAAAGACTAGACCTGGGTTCGAAGACTACAAGGATTGCAGCACTAGACAACATAACAAAATATCACGCAGAAACTATCAAAAACAAAGTAAAAATCATGTAGATTATTTATGAAATCATGTTGAATTTAAAAGTGGGATAGATGAGTTTTTTAGGGATGAGAAGAAAAAGAGATGAAATTCCAACACACCCATGTACTTGGGTAATTAGCCAACAGCTTCTAGTGTGCAGAGGGAATTGTACAATTTACAAACCCTTTGATAGAGTTGGCGATCAAGGCGAAAACCCATGATGTGCCTGGCTCCATTCAAGAATAGCCAGGCATCCAGATTAAACTTGATACTTCCACATCCCCCAACCAGTTTGACTGTCTCCTGTTGGCGGTAAGAGGAACCTACTGCCGTACGAGCAGAAGCGTGTACTGAAGTTCCATGCCGAAAACGCAGGCATCCATGATATCGCCCAAAATATGTCACTACATGTGACGAATTGAGCACCTGGAGAGGCTGGTGTTGGCATCTGTTAGTGACTTGCGTTGGGATTGGCCTTTGCCTGTCACTCCAGTCTGGTATGTAGACTCGGGGCAGCACTCCCGAGATGAGCCTCAACTTGTACACATACATCTAGGGACTGGCCCAAAATGGCAACGAGATTTTGTGGCGAGCACCCTAAAGATGTAGCACCTTGGTTCAATCTTCGCCATGCCGAGCGCCTTTTTGGCCCGTCAGGCCCGAGTCAACCTCGTGATCATGGTAGCAAAATTCGCATTACGTGGTCACATCATCGGCCATATGGCTTCACCGAAACCAAGTTTGCCTCAGCTGGCAAATCGTCATCACATACTCGATCGGCCCTTCTTCGTCCTACACTCAGATCGATCGATGTCGACCGCCAAGCTTCAGCTTATAACAAGGGTTACGTTGTTTTTTTCGGCAATTCCTGTTTCGGCAATTCCACTGGTGGTGCAATTGAAATCACGAATGTAAAATACCTAAAGATGCTCAAGTACCTTATAGTCCCCATAAGTCAGGAGCATGTCTTTTACAGGAAGCCAGGGCCTTCCCGCGGGCATGACTTTATCTTCCTAGCTAATTTTGATAAGGGTTGATGGCAGTTTAATTTAAGGTTGCCTCCGGCTCGGAGGATAATTTTGAACATGTGATGCTCGCTTTGAAATGAGCAAAGACAAATGTAAAGCACAACCCACTGGAATAAAGGCGGGTTAAGAAAATCCAGTTCCTCTACTCCTGAGTCTTGACAACGAGTTTAAACGTTAGGACGCAGGAATCCCCCTTTGAGTTGATGATCATCAGTTGGCATCGTCAGTGGCGCTTGGATCGTGGACAGTTGACAGTTGACAGTCAAGCAGTCTGATGAGAATGTGCACAACTGTGAGCTCGGGCTCCGGCTCGGCTCCGTCTCTGAGCCAACCTGAGGCAATCTTCAACTGAAGTGCCAACCCACTTCTCCGTGACCACAAGATGTGCTTTCCCCGTGGATATTGTCGACCTGGCCAAAAAGGCCTTCTTAGATCTGCTCGGACGGTCGGTGGTTTTTTTCTTGCCTGAAAGAGGAAGGCCTCAAACAGGGTTAACTGATTTTAAGAGAGTCGGACGGAGAAGTATCATGATCAATCCGGATGTGTGGCTACCCTTGACTTGAGCTGGATGGAACCACGCATTGTATTTTACCAGATTACCAATCCCATCAAAACGTCAGTGATGATGCCCTCTGAAGACTGGAAGGGCTGTTGATAGCTGTTGATCGATCAGCTTATACGTACATGGGTATGCCAGACTTGCTGGGTAAATATATCGCCAGTGGCCCTGGGTGGCTCAGGGACCAGGGTAGATCAGATCATGAATCACTTCCTCATCTTTCGAAATTCGAATCCTGCTTCGACCTTCTTCTGGGTGTCGAGCCGCCCCGATGGAGTCATTCGGTGGCCGTGGGCATCAGAGCAGTACATACACCTAAACTTCGGCTGTTTACAACTTCACACCCTGGTGATGATGGTACAGCACCTGTAAATAGGATGGAAAATGTTCATAAATACCAGCCACTCCCTTCCACCCCCCCAACTTGGCCCATCGACCACTCCTTGTCCCTCACCTTATATCTATTCTTTTGGCTGCTACCACAGCCTAATTAATCACCCTCTTTATTGACTTAGCCGGGATAAACAATTTTTGCAACGATAGAATGTTCAAAGATTCAATTTTCAGTTCCTTATTGGTTGGCCTCTGGCTCCTTATGAGCCTCAGTTCCAGTGTCACATCTGCCACAACCCAAGAATCAAAATCCTCAACGCGCCAGGTAGAATGTGGCACTAGTTGGTCAACTATAGACACCTACAAGAACCCCCTCTATGTTTGTACGTCCGGAACAAGTTGCCTTTGCTAAGCACTTGAATTTATATCCATTTATTAAGCTGCGGTCTTGATACCTTTTAAATTATAGCTTGTGGAGACGAAAAGGGCATCAACACCTGCGACGACACAACTTGTCACATGGGTGGGCCGAAAGGTAACGCTGATAGTAACCCAAGTGAGTCAATGCCTGGTGTCAAAGGAAAACAGAAACAATTTTTTGGGCGCGCTTTATCATTCCTAACAATCTCTTAATTCACCTGGTGTGGGCATTTCAAGTGAACCACGAGCTCTTCTTTGATCAATGTGCCAAAATTGATCACCAAGGCAAAGAACTCACCAAGCCAATCTACCGGATTTTCCCCAGGACTTACAAAGTCAGCGAACGAGACAACATCATGGGTACGTCATCCCAAGAGAATGAGATGGAGAGAGAAAAGGGAAAATATAACAGCAGATTTAGACTGACCTTCAGTCTCTTCTAACATCTAGTAGCTTACGGCTTCTCTCCTAGTGAATCCAGTTACGCACCCTCATTTTTCAAATGTCGTTACGACCAAGCCTCTGGTCTCAACGTTCGCAGAGTTTGTAAGTTATCCTCTTTGAATCCCAAGTCAAAAACAAAAAAAGGAATATTACACAGACATATCCTTCATTTCTAAAACCATGGTTTCTCTTCACCCAGGGTGCGATTCTTGCTTCCCCAAACAAGCCCAACAATGAACTTGGTGCTCGGGCTTTCACTGCTTCCACTTTCACTTTCCCATTCCTTGACTCCATATCCTCACATAAATCTAAACACGAAAAGTAAATAAATAAACGCTCCACACCAAGAAAAAAAGAGTGAAAACAAGCTGTGTATCGCGAATGTTGGCTCTCATATCACCAGTAATCTGCCGTGAACGTCTACTACTTTGAGGGTTGTTCCTTTTTTCTTTTCTTACCAAAAACCTACTGTGAATCTTTCCTTTGAAATAAATGGCCAATTTTAGTTAATCTCTAAACACACAAGTACCTTTCCTTTTCTGATCTGAATTGATCAGAATCACGAGTTTGTCCAAACAAAAGTATTCCAGCGTCCAGCTTGAATCTTCCACCCTGCTGTCGTACTGGCATGATCACCCATTGTAATGTGTTCATTCTTCTGGAATTCGAACTGAGAGCTTGCGTCTTCCATTCCAAGTTGACCGAGAGCATCTGGAACACATGACGAGGCTAATTAATGTCAAATGGCTCATAAGAAAACAAGAAAGTAACTCACTCGAACCAGCCAGCCATACCCCTGAAGATGTAAGTACCACAGTATGCTCACTCCCGCATCGGGCATCAATCACGTCAATGATCTCACCAGCCTCACCATTGCCTCCAATATCGACCAAGATAGGAGTGGTTGTGTCAATTGTACTTGAGCTTCCAACACCACATTGACCTTTACGATTGTGACCAAACGTGTAAAGTTCGCCATCTCGACCTAAGGCCACACTGTGGAATAAGCCGCAATCGATAGTTGATAGTGCTGGTAGATTTTCGATCATCTGTGGTTCATTAATCGCAATCGAGCGAGATCCTATTCCTAATTGACCGAACCGATTGTCCCCAAACGCATATAAGGTCGAATGATAATCCGGATCTTCGGCTCCTTTGATCGATCCCGTCGAGGGGGTGTGAGTCAGAATAAGGAAATGCGCAGCACCCGAGGAAAGTTGGATTTCCGTCTCTTCCCCCGATGGATGACTATCTAAACTAATTGATTTCGGATTTGAATTGGTCCTAACGCCCTTGAGACAAAAGTCCAATAGTTCTTGAAAGGATGACCACAATTCTAGACGATGAGTTGATTGATCCTCTGTTTTCAAATTTGACGGTGTTCGAGTAGATTCATGATCCAAAACTGCAGCTAGGACTTCCCCATTATCACTGATCGTAACGGCTTGATAACGGGCCGAATTCCTTGTCGGAGATCCAGTCGAAGCCGGGGTATTCATATTGATTGGATTGATCGTACCATCTCTTGCAAGGTATCCCAGAATCTTTGTCCTTCCAAGCCATTTCTTGACTTGATCAAGCGGATGTGAGATCAAACAGTTGTTTGATAAAGTTTTGACCTCGGTCGATTGATTTTCCTCGTCGAAGCCCCAAATTTCTAGATAACTTGGACATGAATCTGGAGTGTTTTCGTTGGCTCTGCTCGAAGTACCAGAGCATTTCATCAGCGTTTGAATCAGTTATTTAATAACCTACTTTTTGACATACCGTTGGTAATGAACCAGCGTTTGTGAATCAGTCACATGAAGAATTTCAACACCAACCACCGAAGTCGACCGAGCATCCTTTGTGATCCTAGTCTGCTTCAATTTTCTTGGATGGATGATCTTCTTCTTGGTTGTTGAGCTCCTTGTTCGGTCTTCATCTGGGTCCGACTGATAAAATAGGTTCGATCCAAACACGCAAACCCAAGGCTCAGTCGAGGTCATGACTCTTTCCAGTCTAGTGTGCTGTGTGGCCCGGGGAGAGGAAACTTGTTGCATCGAACCTCGGTTGGCAGTATCGGGGGTATCGGGGATGTGCTCAACCCGAGGTCCAAAAAACTCTCTCTTGAACTAGAAAAACCATGAAGCAATCGATTCGATAGTCAGCTCGGCATACTAATTTACGTGGTCCATCGTCAACTCCTTCCACATGCACCCTCCATCAATCAGCCCTCGATCAACTCACAATTTTTTCATACTCTGAACAAAACCTAGATCCCGTCCGATAACCGATCCATGGTTTTCTAGAACACATGTCCACGATCTCTCATCTTCTATTCAAACGGGCTTCCTTCTCTTTGCCAAGTGAAGTATTTCTTTGAACCCTCATAGTAAAAAAAATCGCGATGGTGTCGGTGAGAGTAACACCTGATTTTATTTTTTCAGGCACTTTTGCTTCACCTCCTCCTGGATATGTAACCCCTCCGTGGCCTAGTCTATATGGCCCTAATTCCGATGGAATTTATCTCTACGTACCTTCAAGTTGAGCTTTTTTCCCTTGCATTCTCTAGGACACCCTCACAATTTATTACTTAGCTTAGGTTCCCTGACTGATGAGATTCTGATATACATCTACATTTTCCATTTCGGTTTTGATTGATTGTGGACAATATCAAAATTTCGTAGCGATTTGGAAATTCACGTTATATTGGACTTTGTGAGTGATGACTACATGTTTAAAAAATCACTGAATTTTGACAGAGAACTGACTGAAAAAAGCTATGAAACACGAACCAATTAGATTACTCGAAGGAATTGTATTTATGGGATGTGGATTATTTGCGAGTTTTACGTTTTGGAGAAGTGGATCATTGAGGGAGATGAATGGAAGCAAAAATGGGAAGATGGGGAAGATGAGGATAGGAGGAAAGACGATGGCAAAGCAGGCGAGAATTCGAAGATCAGGATCAGTGGGAAGAACCGAGAACCAAGGAGAATGGATCCCATTAAATCGACATCGAAGAGCCTCATCGATCATCACTACTATCCATCATCCTGTCGAGAATCTTAACCGGACTAGGAGACCCTTCACCAGTCTCTTCCTCACCCCTACCTTCTTCTTCCTCATTTTCTCTTTCTCTGCTGTTATCTCTGGTAGCCTCGTCGGTTGGGCTATCGCGGCTCTCTATAATGCAGCTTTCCTCAGAATGTCAACTTGGGTGCCTGCCCTCTGGTCCGCTGGACTCACCTTGATCGTCATCATCAGTTCTTATTCTAATATTTCCACCGTTTTGTAAGATCTTCACGTCTTTTATCTCTCAACAGGATAATGACATATTGTCAAGGAATTGTTGGGAAATTGTCCGAAGAAGTGCTAGAAGGAAGGTGTACTGGCTCTGTGAGGGGGGTGCATCAGTGAACGTGGTGGAAGGTTATTGAGAGATCAAATGTGAACTCTTACAACAAGGATCTCCGAGTTACATTAGACAAAGAAGAAGAAAAAAAGTGATTAATTTAGAAAAACAGAAAGGAGATACAAGGAAGAAAAATGAGAAATAAAAGGAAGCTCAAGTGAATCAACAATTGGCAGGAGTAGAGTCCTCAGGGACAAATTTCTGACTCAAATCAAAACAAAAGAACAATCCCTGTTGAGTTTTCACATCTCTTGCCTACTCCTCCCCAAATTCACTTACTCCTTTCCCTATTTTTTCTCTCTTTATCTTTTCTTGAATCTTCTTGAACTAGACTGAATTATGGTAATCCACTGCTGGTTTTATGTTGAATCTTGTGCATTTTTGGAGTCTAATTAGAACTATCATTAGCAATTTTATAAACAACTCCTGTCTCTGTGATTGATCTCTTTCTTTTTCTATTTCATTATTTGATTCATTAAAATCTGATTGTTAAGAATTAACGACTCTTATACATTTGTGGTGGTATGTTTGTTTTCTCATGATTAATTTTGCTAGCTTGTCTAAAAGAGACTGAGAAGACTTGTCCGGCTATTTCTTCCATGAACTCATTCATTTCTTCCTCTCAGATTTTATTCAAAATCACTCTTTATTCAATTTCATTTCTAAGTCTATTTAAACCTGGCTTCTTACTTGTGAATGAAAACTCATCGGTTCTTTACACTCTTTTTCCGTGAGCCCTTCCCAAAAATAAG